TGGTGCTCAAAACTGGACACAATACTCCAGTTGAGGCCTAATCAGTGCGGAGTAGAGTGGAACAATTACTTCTCGTGTCTTGCTTACAACACTCCTGCTAATACATCCCAGAATGAGGTTTCCTTTTTTTCCCCAACAGTGTTACACTGTTGACTCATATTAAGCTTGTGATCCACTATGACCCCCAGATCCCTTTCTGCAGTACTCCTTCCTAGGCAGTCATTTCCCATTTTGATGAGCTAAGCATCTGAAGAATTGGTGTTAAGTTCTCTGTTGGCAATGGTCAGGTATATCTGAGGTGGTCATGTTTCTATCTATTAGAAGATGCTCTTGCTAAAGATTAATTTAAAATATGGCTGTGCATGCCCTTATGGTCTGCTGTGTCTGAAATGAACAGACAGAAATAAAGTTATACATGCCATTTTTAACCATTCTGAAATCAGTTTATTCCAATTTATTAACACAAAACTGTCACCACATGGAAACATTTTACCATTCAGTGAAGCTTTAGAAAAGGCTTGAGTGACCATTTGACAAGATACAATCAACAAATCAGAGTGGCCCCACAGACTCATCGTGAACACAGATTGCAGATTCAGGAGACCTTCATTTTCCCTCTCCCCCTCCTCCCCACCATGCTGTTGATTCAGTGTGCTACCCTGGGCAACTCACTTAGGACAAAATTGTCAGAAGTGCCTAAGTGACCAAGAAGGTGGTTGTTTTAGAGCGCTGGGAAAGAAAATGTGCCACGACCACACAAGCCACGTTAAAGCGCTGCCAGACTAGCCCTTAAACTGATATAGCTTAATGGGGTAACTTACATTAGTAAACTAACCCAGGTGTCACAGCTGACCTCAGCTAATGTGGCAGCTCATGAAGACAAACCGATCTCACGTAGCCCTGGCCCAAACCATTTAGGGCTTTCTAGTTGGAAATAAAACAAAAAATCTTGAATTGCACATGGAAGCAAATAGGAGAACCATACAACTGTCAGGGAACAAGTTCAATATGCTGCCTAGGGCTAATATCAAAGAGGCGAGCAGACATTATCAACCAGCTGTAGCTTCTGAGTGATCTAAGGCTATAGCTACACTTACGGAAGTGTGTGGAACATAGGTGTAACCCACACACCTGCTGGGTGTGGTGTTCTGTCCCATCTAGTGGCACCGAGACCACTTTAAAGAGAGATAAAATGAGTCTGCTCTACAGTCTTAGCTAAGAGCCGGTTGGCTTTTAGCTCATGCAGTAGAGGCTCCTGCACTAAGCTCCAGAGGTCCCAGGTTCAATCCCACCTGCCGACAACCGGGGTCTGTCGGCGTTACATTGGCACTATGCATGCAGCTACACGCCGCAACGAAAGCCAGGCTGCATCCACATTTGTCATTGCAGGATAGTGACATGCAGCAGGGAAAAGCTCTGGCAGCGGGGAAAGGCTCTGGCAGTGAGGAAGACACACTGAAAATAGCGGTGTAGATGTGGGAGGCATTGCTTGGGCATGTCGAGAGCAGGCTGGGTGTATCTCATGGGGGTTCAGGCAGGTAGGGAACTCTTTTCTATTCTACCCATCTAAGCTGTGCCCTACACGGCCATTTACTCCCAGGTGACTGTATGCTATACAAAGCTGCAAGTGTAGATGTACACAAAAATATCCTGCCTGTGATACTGCCTCAAGTATGCTCTGAGCGCTGGATCTGATGTCTAGCCTTATAACTACAAGTCAGGAGTAGGATTTTCTGCAAAAGCTACTCATGAGGTCCTGACCCTTTACTTTTCGCTGTCCAGCTTATGCAGAGCATCCACCTTCACTTTTCCCACATTATCAACTACTTCCAAGATGTAGGTTTAGTTAGCGACCACTTCGCTTTTGAAACCTGATAGCCAAGTTATTACATGCAACTATATATTGGCATGGGTATATTTGGAGCAGTTGACTGGAGCAAAGCATTAGCTTCGGTGACCATTATGCTGACCTTTCTGCTGGGGCACAGCGGTAGCCCCCCTGAGTGCTGTGTTAAACCTGCTGAGCAACGCATTATGAAATGTTGGTTATTCAAATGATTTACTTAGCAAGACCAAGTGCTGCATGCCATGGGTCTTTTACACAGTGTGTCATTTGTACTCTGAGATCCATATACACTGAAGGTCATTTTTATTTGAAAAGCAATAAGCATTTGACTGGTTTTTATTTTACACACACACAGAGCATAACTTTGCTGCAAGCAACAGAGTTTAGGTTTAGGTGAACTCATACGGTAACAAAGATAAGAATGGAGAAAACACATTTCTTGTCCATAAAAGGACAGATCACCACATTCACAGAGGGCAACTCTGATTTTGCTGCAGTTCCAAAGAACAAAGTAGGAAATTCAGTATTGCTAAATGAGTTACATATGAGTTTCATTATAATTGTTCAGAGACTGCCTTTGAAGTTCTTGCTGTGTGTTTTCCCCAGTTTAACTGTTTCAAAGTTGACCAATGGCACTTATTTGTACAGCAGTATGTGTAATTCAAATTAAAACAACCACTTCACTTATGGATCAGCTCAAACATTGTGTCATGGCCACTATATAACTTGTATTTAGCTTAGGCACTCTGGTTACATTCCCCAGACCTGAAGAAGAGCTCTGTGAAGTTGGCCCAATAAAATATATGACCTCACCTATCTTGTCATATGTGGTATGCATTTGGAGGTGCATGCATGATTCTTGAAAAAAGTGCTCTCTGATCTTATACTTATAAATGCTAGTCGCAGACACTGCAGTGTTCTGGGTAATTGCTTGTTGATTGTTTTGAATTATTTTTATAAGCACTGAATATTATTAGAATATCAATTTTTAGTACAATTGGAGTTGCAGTTATCTTAGGCTAAAATGTCCAAAGTTGGATGCCTAAAGTTACACACCTAGGCCAAGATTTAAAGCAATGGGTACCTAGCATTTATGACAGCTTCAGAATGCTCAACACTTTTGAAATTGTAAACACGTAGCCATGTGTTCAGTTAAAGACACACAAAAAGTCAACCCAGAACAGATCCCTAACAGAAAGCATAATACTGCACACACAGTTCTCCCCCTGCAAAGGGGATGAGAGAAAAACTGAAACCGTTATGACAGATATGAGTCACATCTCTTAACGTGCTGCTGGAGGACACTCAGATACTTGGGTGGTATAAAAACCCCATAGAATTACACAGTTGCTGAACCATCGGTAGAGGAGCCCCATGGTTAGGGACCTCGTTTTTAAACTCTTGTTCCTTAAGCTATATGTAGGCTTCCTAACAAACACCACCATTTTCAGAGAGGGTGAGCCCCTCACTCCTCCCATTGAAGTCAAATTTTAGCCCACTTTGTGCAGAATGTAGAATCAACTATGAAAGAACACACAGCTCAAATGCCCTGTGAATCCATCTATAGTTCATACTCGCCTTGTACAGGGCAAATGATGGCTTTCCAAAAATAAGGATAAGAAACCTCTCATCCCTGACTGTTTCGCTGTCTCTGGGCTATGTGCTCCTACATCAAAAGCCATCTGTACAGAGGGAGGAACAGCACTGTGGGCTGAACCACTGCTACTGTTTTTATTCCCCAGCACACGGCGGTCTAGCGGATACAGCACTTCCTGAGACTCGGGCGATCTGGATTCTATTTCCAGCTCTGCCACTGATCTGATGAGTGACATTGGGCAGATCACTTCCCCCTCTCTGTGCCTCAGTTTCCCCATATGTAAAAAGGGGATTGATGGCACTGACCTTTTTTAAGCACTTTCAGGCCTACTGATACACAATGCTATGTAGCAGCGAGGTATTGTTTCCATATTGCTCCCGAGTAAATTCTGATCTCCCCTCCCCCACATACAGCTAGTGGTCAGGCCAATCCTTAAGAAAACCGATTATACAGTGGCTTATTCAAATGGTCTCCAATTAGTATTAAAATTATTTTTCAACAGGCTTGTTCAAATGGTTATTCATTTATAGAGCTGAAACTTTAAGCTTGCTCAGTCCATGAAGTCTTGTACCGACAGAGTCAATGACACTAATGGAGTTTCCTCAGTTTACACCACCAATGAATTTAACCCAACACCCCCTCTCAGTGCTAGCCTGCATAATCTCAGTTCTTAGTACGAGGTGTGTCTGCTAAAAGGATTGTGGAAAAATGACCCAGCCTACAGTTTGTGCCATGCTTTCCAGGTGGAGGGGACATGTCTTTGTAGAGAGAGGAACTTAAGACTTGTCTACACCAGTGGTTCTCAACCTGTCGTCCACGGACCCCATCTAAGGGGTCTGCAAAAGACTGACTGAAAACGGACTGAATGGAATTCAACTATATGTACAGACAATAGATTTCCTAAAGGGTCCACCCCTCCATTCATAATTTCCAGAGGGGTTCACACCTATATTTGAAATTGTTTAGGGGTCTGCAAATGAAAAAAGATTGAGAATCACTGGTCTACACTGCCCTGCAGTTCAGACGACGGGGCATGTGAATAGCAGTGCACATCAAAATGTTGCACTGTAACTCTCCTGTTTGGAAGCTGCAGATATGAACTGAGAGGTTCCTACTTCACCTTAATGCAGTCTGGTTTGAAGAAGACTACATTAGTGCAAACTATGAACCTTTTTAGTTCACACTGCCCGTGTCCACATAGGAGAGTTATAGAATGGCAGGCACTTTGGCGTGCACTGCCCTCTCAGTCCTAACTGTGAGGCAGTGTAGACATGCCGTATGGTCATACTAACCTAGCTCTCTCTGTGAAAACCAAAAAATAAAATCATCCTGCCTGAAAAGTGGATGAAATGTAGATGGAACTAATAATAAAGGGTCACCCATATTATTTCATAAAATGTAATTAAATATTTGGAATAGCTTGTAACAAACACATGGTCTAGCTTCGTCTACACAGACTAACATCTGTCAGACACGTTAAAAAAAATCAGGACTATCCTACTGCATCCAGTAATTCTTATTTCATTGGCTCTAAGTTAACTCTGTGTTTCTTTTCAGATCTTACAGGTGAACAAGGTGATGTCCATCTTGTTTTATGTGATATTTCTTGCTTATCTTCGTGGCATCCAATCTACCAACATGGATCAAAGGAGTCTGCCAGAAGAGTCGATAAATTCTCTCATTATTAAACTCATTCAGGCAGACATTTTGAAAAACAAACTCTCCAAGCAGATGGTAGATATCAAGGAAAACTATCAAAACACTATGCAGAAAACAGAGTCTCAGCAGGACGAGGATGGAGTTGAAAATGTGAAATCAGACTTCCAGCCAGTGATCCCAATGGATGCAGAACTATTAAGGCAACAGAAACGCTACGGTTCTCCCCGGGTCCTCTTGAGTGACAATACCCCATTGGAACCTCCACCTTTGTATCTTATGGAAGATTATATTGGAAATTCTGTAGTGGTGAACAGAACCTCCAGGAGGAAAAGGTATGCAGAACATAAGAGCCATCGAGGGGAATATTCTGTATGTGACAGTGAAAGTTTATGGGTTACGGACAAATCATCGGCTATCGACATTAGAGGACACCAGGTAACAGTGCTAGGAGAAATTAAAACAGGCAACTCTCCCGTCAAACAATATTTTTACGAAACAAGGTGTAAAGCAGCCAAACCGGTAAAAAATGGCTGCCGTGGCATTGATGATAAACACTGGAACTCCCAGTGCAAAACATCCCAAACGTACGTAAGAGCACTGACTTCGGAAAACAATAAACTCGTAGGCTGGCGATGGATAAGAATAGACACATCCTGCGTGTGTGCGTTGTCGAGAAAAATAGGACGAACATAAGTCTGCATTTCTTTGCTATATAAATTATTACTTTAAATTATATGATATGCATGTAGCATATAAATGTTTATATGGTTTTATATATTATAAGTTGACCTTATTTATTAAACTTCAGCAAACCTACAGTATATAAGCTTTCTCTCTCAATAAATAGGAGTAAAATGGCATGTGCCTCAGCTGTGGGCAGCTGCAGTTTTATTAGAATATGTTTGTGACTCTGCTTAGCAGCAGCATACCATAATCTTACTGTAAAATCTGTGTAACGTCAGTATTTTTCATTCAGTATTGTCAAGCCAGTGACTGTCATTTAGTAAACTTGTTAAAAATCAGATAAATGTCAAGAGTTGTGTACCCATTTCTATCCCCTGCTATATATTTTCACAAGACAAAGTAGGCGAGGGAATAGATTTTATTGGAGCAACTTCTGCTAGTGGAAAAAAAGACAAGCTTTCGAGCTACACAGAGTTCTTCTTCAGGCCCAGACCTGAAGAAGAACTCTGTGTATGTCAAAAGCTTCTCCCTTTCACCAACAGAAGTTGCTCCAATAAAACGTATTACCTCACCCAACTTGTCTCTCTAATATCCTGGGACCAACACAGCAGCAACAACACTGCAAACCACATATATTTTCATATTTAATTAAAAGTGTTAATTTCTCACCACTGAAAGGAAAACAACATGGCCTACAGCTAACATTAACATTCCAGCCACTGACTAGCTGTAAAATACGTTTTCTGTACGTCATGCCAGTTTTGCCACTACAATTACTGTTGTTTTTCCTCTGTTAGCATTCCAGAACTGCTGCTAATAACCCAGCAATTTTACTTTAGGTTTTTGAAGCACATTTGTTTTGTAACTGGTTTTTAATGCTGCCAATTCCTTTTAGAAGTAATAGGAAAAAATCTAAAATATTTGTAACAGAACCTTACCAATGCCAAGAAGCAATCTAAGTGGATCATTAATATAATATATAAAAGATGATTTCTTTAGAGTATACTATTTATTGTGATCAGGTTCCTCCTCTCCAATAATCTGTTAACTCTGCTGCATCGTTACATTGTTTCTATCTGCCTGGGGTTTTTAAATTAGAAACAAAACCGTTGGTGTCTTAACTTTAAAAGAAGCTTGGGTTTAGAGTTCTAGGAAAGAAGAATACAATCTTGGAGTGGATGTCAAAGCTGCACTTTCATTCAAAGCTGCAGTGCTGGTCAGCATCAATTGCCGATTTTTCATGGAGAAAAACAGCTGTAGAAATGCTCAGCAAACCTGGTATTTTATGGAGGATCGTTGAAGAATTACTGTTTTCTGTGTGGCATGCGATTAAGAATCAGGTTCTCAAGTAGGCAATAGTTAAAATGAACCTGCAGTGTCATACAGACGAGTTAACACTTACAAAAAAAAATAAATGGACCGCTGTATACCTCACACAGACATTTCTAAATTCTGTGCACAAAACTTGTTCTATTCTTTGCATTATTATGTAGAAGCAACATAAATATGCATTGAGCAAAAACTTTAGCCATTGTAAAATGGAGCAGCTCCATGGAAGACAGTGTAAACCACATTATACCATATAATGGACCAGACTTTACTTTCATTAAAGCATATGGAAGTTTAGTCACTGACATCAATGGTCTGCGCAAGATTAAGCTCCCTATATTATCTATATCAGGTTGGATCTTAAGAATAACACAACCAGAGAGTCAGAAACTGCCCCCAATTTAATAGACATCACAATTGCAATGTACCACATTCAAAAATTGTTAAACGAGCACTCTCTCCTTTGCATTCAACTTTCATAAATTAAAAAAAAAAGAGCCACAGCACCAAAACAGTAGGTGGCCTGATGGCTTTGTACCTATATCTTTTCACCACTGGAGAACCAGGTTCAAATCCTCAATAAGTCACAAGAGGAAATGAATTGGGTGGTCTCTCTAATCCCCTATGGACAGTGTAACACATCATAAAAACACTGCAGAACTGGTCCAGATTGCTCATGAGGCCAAGGATTGAGATAGCTGTAAGCCAGGATTGGAATACACCAGCAGGACTGTGAGGATGATTGTATACAGAACCTGACAGCATTAGGTGTGGCTCCCACTAGACCCCTGATCTTACAAGGTGCAAAAAACTCTCAGGTCCCTAGTCGGGTTGCTCAGTACCTCACAGGAGGCATCCAGCACTTTGCAGGATTAAACCCTAAATTCACCTTTCTCGCCTCAAGCAATAATAGAGGTTCTGTACCACGATGATCATTAAAGTGTAGGATCTGGTTTATATGGTGAGAAAGTCATGGCTTGTCTATGAGACCAGTTAGCGCACGGCAAGTTGGGGTATAAATGAACAGTGCACTAGCCTGCGAGCACAAACATCTGTGTAGACCCCGCTGCCGGTCAACTAAAAGTTCTTCTGTGCACTTTGATCTACTCCCATTTCAAAGTGAGGGTGATCAAAGGGCACTATAGAACTTTTAGTGCACAGTAGCAGGGTCCATATCAATGGTTAGTGTGCGGCAAGCTACTGCAAGGTAGGTATATACCCCAGCTTGCTGTGTGCTAACTGTTCATCTAGACAAGCCCTCCATATCTCATAGAGGTGGTTGTAAACCCCCCCTCTCTTTGGAGAATTCCAATGAAAAAAAATAAACAGTCATTTTTACTGAAATTTTCAGTGCAAAATTTTGACTTTTCATTGAAAAAACCCAAAGCAATTGTTTTTCAGTTTTCTGCCAAAAAAATTCTGTTTCCCACTGAAAAAGGGGGGAAATGTTAAGGAAAGCAGATGCTTTCAATGAACATCTGCATTTAATCAAATCCCCGATTTTCCATTTAATAAAAAGAAAACTTTTGATGGAAAATTTTCAGCCAGTTCTGGTAGCTAAGCTATTCAGAGACAAGCAGGCAGCCTTACATTCAGGGATCTTGGCACTTCAGCATCCAGTGTATGTCTATATCTATGCGCTAAATTAAGTAGTGAAATTAACTGAGCTTGTTAGACACTGCTACTTACTTGAAAAGACTCGTCATTTCCATTTACTTTAGTGAGTCTGTTGCCATTAACAGGGTAGCTTCTGCTCTCAGTAACACGAGTGTAAATCCACAGTAATTCCACTGAAATCAACAGAGACACGGTAATTCTACTGAAGTCAGATTTACACCAATGTAATTAACATCAGAATCTGGCCCAAAACCTTCACTTCAGCTTTTTGAAAATAAGGAGACTTAACCCTTGAGAAAATCATTTTCTATTTTCTCATGTAAATCATGTAATTAGAACTGGCACAGGACTCTAGCTTTATCAGTGTATGGAGTGTTTTGCAAGTGGAAAAAGAAAGTTGCAAAGAAAATGTGCGGTATAGTGCTGATCATCTGAAATGTATTACATGACAAACAAACATGGTGCATAAGGTTATTAGATTGACTGCCTCATTCCCACCTTTGTATAACAATGAAAAGAAGTGTTACCCTTAGGCTCTGATCCAACTCCTACTAAAGTCAATGCAACAATTGCCATTGATTTCAAAGGAAACTGGATCGGGCCCTGAGTGAAGAAAAGCTACACATCTCAACAATGCTGTAGTTTAATTGTATGTGTCGGTTACATGTTTTTATAAATCCTGTGTGTAAGATTTCCTGTGTATATTTCACAGCAGGTAAGCATACAAAGCCTGTGCTAAATGCGTAGGGTCTGATCCTGCACAGTCACTGTAGTCAGGGAGAGTTCCGTTTGCTATTGACTTCAGTGGTGGCTCAAGGAGGTCCGGAGTTCTCTAGCCAACTTCTTTGTATCAATTGCTTAAATGAAATAAGTAGCCCAGCAGTACTTGGTAAATTTGGGCCTTTTTAAACTCGCTCCCATTAGGCAGCTAACTGTCAATATTGTTTCCCCAATATTTTATGTTATAAATACATAATTTTGTTGCAAAAACGATTGGCTCATACACTGGGTTTGCCTATCTGTGTCAAACTGTGTTTTCTCCAATTTTTTCTTGTTCTTTTACAGACCATTTGGTAATTGTAAAAAATGCTCCACTGAGGTTTTGGGAAACCATCTGCATTTATTTTATCACCTTTGAACATGTGTTCAGGAATGAAGTCTGTGTAGCCAGTTTACGGCTACCTAGAGATTTGCGCTGCTACACCAGGAAGAAACATCGACTGGGCTGTACAGTGTGTGTGCTCAAAACCACTCTCAATATCCTGTTATTTCAATGCATTAGCAATCTGAGTTTGTCACTCAAATATACGTTAAAAGAAAAGGAGTACTTGTGGCACCTTAGAGACTAACCAATTTATTTGAGCATGAGCTTTCGTGAGCTACAGCTGAGCTGTAGCTCACGAAAGCTCATGCTCAAATAAATTGGTTAGTCTCTAAGGTGCCACAAGTACTCCTTTTCTTTTTGCGAATACAGACTAACACGGCTGTTACTCTGAAACCTGTCAAATATACGTTGCGTATCTGCAGACAATACATAACAGGAAACAAGTTTGATTTGGAGTTCCAGAATTAAGCATTTAATGATAATGACCTTGCTTTTTTGACCTTTCAGCAAATACATTTTTACAACAAACTGAAATGTATAACTATCCATTTAGTTTAATAGAAACATTGTGGCAAAAATCAATGGGATTCTGTGTTCCCCACGCTCAGGACGCGTATGTAATTCATCATGCATGTGGCGGGGGAGAACAGGCCCTGCAGCTTGTGAGAAGTGAAGAGAAGTGTGCTGGGTCAGAGCCGGTTTTAAGTATGGAGGGGTTGTTTTCCAAAATGCTTTGCCTGTATTTTGTTACAGCAGATGGCAGAATGATGAAGCAAGCACAGATGTGATGTAAAAAAAAGTCAACCAGCACCACTGCTAACAAAACCTTTCTTAGGAGGGTCTGCGATTTGCTACTGCTGTAGGCACGAGGAGTTGTTTTAACCAGGTTGTTACCTAGTTCTGCAATGACATCGCCTGTTAAATTATTTCAATAAATTTTCCTTTTTTGCCACAGAGGTTCTCTGGATATCGTCAAATTAGCAAGTTAAAAATATTTTTTTATAATCTTTAGCTGCTTTGGTATCACTGATAAGCTGTATGTTTAGAAAGGTAATGCTTTACATGAAGGTTCCCAAATTACCATGAGGGCCAGATCCTCCAATAGGCACGGCCATTTTGAGTCACATCACTGCCAGATTCTGAGAGCATCACCCCGGTGCAAGGAGAATCTTCCAGTGGCGACAAGCTAGCACACCAGCTCCTACGCTCCCACCTACCTGCTGCTGCCATAATAGAGGTCATGGCTGGAGGAAAGGCTCAGAGTGGGACACCCTATGCTGAACAGAACACTGGCTGCCATTTTGGCCCTGTGAACCTATTATAGCCGTCTGATTAAGTCAGAGCATGCTCAGGCTGTTCTTTCTTACACCTAGGAACCGGCTCTGTGTACAGTGGCCTCAGGATCAAAAGAGGGCAAAAATAAGCCTTGGACAATCATTAGTTCCATTAGTTGTCTTGCACTGTGTGTTCCTCAGCTGTAGACAAGGCTCTCCCCCTGAGTACTCTGTCCAAAGGCTGAGATGCAGAGTCAGACTTTTGACCAAGGGATAGTGGGCAGTTCCCAGGAACTGAGCAGACAGCCAATCTGTAGCTCTTGTCAGGACAAAGGGGAAGGTACCAGAGGCTGAGGCAGTTCAGAGTATTTAAATCAGAGGAAAGATGGTTTTACGGAGAAGACACAGAAGTGGGGTCAGGAGACAAGACCAGGGATCTGTTGTTGGGTCTGCCACAGAGTCACTGACACCTTCGACAAGTCATTTCACTCAATACTTTTAAAAATGCCCTCAAATTGTGGGTGTCCACATTGTTATAGCTAGGACCTGAATTCCACCTCTCCAAATGAAGGTGAAAAGAGAGAGAGCGCACGCACATCTGAAAGTTTGTACCTCAACCTCAGTGCCTCAGCTTCCCAATCTGTAAAATAGGGAATAATAATTATGATACTTACCTACCTCACCTGGGGAGTTGTGAGGCTTTCTCCACTGTTTGCAAACTACATTAAGCTCCTCTGATGGAAAACGCTGGTATTATTTGGAGGGGCTGAGGTAGCTTGGAAACATGGTAGATCTGAGTTTTCTTCTATTAGGGTGGAGGTGAGAAGGGACTTGCTACTAGAAGTGGGAGTCTGAGCTGGAAGGGAGGCGTGTTACAGGCGGTGTAGGTAGGGGTGGGAAGGGGTTGGGTCTGTTTTGAGAAGGGTAATCATTCAGAAAATCCCTGTTCATTACCTCAATATAGTATACTCATTCCCTGTATTTGAAGGGTTCATTAAATACCATTGGATTTTTTGACACCCTGAAGAATTCAAAATGAAAATTAACCACAGTATTATAGATATTAATTGACACAATATGCTGATTAGGAAATAATCATAAGTTTCTGAACATATGTTGCCTTGGTTATAACCCTCATGCAGCCCAATTGCCAACACTGGGCTCCAAAAGATGTGAGGGCAGAATTTGGACCACAATGTACTAAACCTAAATTGAATGCATACTGGTGAGCCTAAGTTGGAAGCATTATCCATCACCTGAAACCAACCAAACTTTTGACATCAGTTCTATCAAACTTGTCCGTTATTCTATCTAATTCAAGGGATCTATGAAAATATTTAAATATATTTTGAACTGTCTGATTTGACCAGTGTGCATATATCTAGCAGCAATTTACAAAAGAAGAAAATGTAAATAGAAATATGCAGTAAAGTACTGTGTCTAGCAGTGTAAATAACTTCTATTGATTCTTATTTATGTTCTCAGTGTCTGAGAAGGGTCTAAGATCTATATTTTAATACAAATTTGGTTTTTGTTTTACACACGGTATTTTGTATAGTAAGCACCTCAACTTACTGCTTGTAGATGTTTGCGGTGTGTAATCTCAATGAAAAATGTAGCAGAAGTATGGTTCTAAACTAGCGTGGAAATGTAAAAATTACAATGTCCCACCTCTGTATAGTAGTTAGTTAAACCCAGATGTGTGAAAAGTGACAGAATCTGCTTCCCAGGTTCAGAGATTAAATGTGGTTTAAAATATTGAGTGGCAGCTTTTGTCAAGTTATTACCAAATATCTTAATTCAGATTCATATGAGAAACCACCCAGCATTCAGGTGAATCATGCTTTTCTATCTTTGTGTAGCTCAAATCTACTAAACGCAAGCCCTGTTAAACTGAAAAGATGGAAGTTTGGTCTAATCTCTACTGTCCTTGGTGCATGTGCGTAACTCCTGTTTATGGGCCAGATTGAGCCCCCTAAATCCTTGTCCTTGGTGCAATGAAAGAAACTTCCAGGAGAGGATTTCCTCCTTTCTGTGTGGAAGGGGAGCTCAGACACCTCCATTGCATTGTCCACTCCAGAACACTACAGAGGCCTCTCTATGCAATCCAGAGAGGAGGTGGCAATTAGCTGGCTGGAGGGAGGAGTAGGCAAGGAAGGGATGGGGATGTCACTCCGTAGCTCTTTAGAAATTATACCAAAAAAACAAGAGAGAGACTGGAGTGGCATTATCTTTCTGCATAATCCACTGGGGGGATCTCAGGACCTGACTTAGAGGCACAAAGCCTCTATGCCTATGGCTTCCCATGGATTCCTGGAGATCCACCAGGTCTGGTGTCAGCCACTGGGGCTTTCTTCATGCAGGGGTGGGGTGGGAAAACCCATGGGATGGCTCTCTAAGAGGGGGTCTTTGTGAAGATATTCTCCTCCAAAGCTCCCTCCCTTTCCACAGGAGGGGATGACCTGGACACCCGAGAGATGATAAACATCTAAGTTCCTATTGAAGTGAATAGGAAATGTGGGTGCTTCCACATTAATGTGTTCGGGGCTCTTCACAGGGACATTAGGATGTTGTAGGACATCAGTGAGACAGAAAATAAATAATAAATTTTCTTTCATTGGATTTATTCACTGATCCATTTTCCCTCCATGTTCCTTCTTGCAACAACTGAAATGTATTGCGAAAAGATGCAATGAGTTTCTATGGCCTGGAACATGCTAGGGGATCCGTGGGGGGGGGGGGGCGGGGCAGGAGAGGGGACTTCCTACATGAATACCCCCCAGCACATGTGAAGGGTGTGAGGGGCTCACCAACCTCCATGGCATGATCCTCTCTCTCTCTCTAGATGATATGGAAGCTCTCTGCAAAGACTGGAATCAGCCTGTGGTGAAAGATTGGGCTAGGATGGGACAATTGCACTACACACATCACCCTCCTAGCAACCAACAAGGGATATGCTGAGAAGCTAATACAGCCTGAGGCAAACCTCTCACAGAATCACTGGGAAAGCTCAACAAGGGGAACATCACAGGATTTTCCTGCCCACTGTCCTCCACCGATGGATTCTGTGAGGAAAAGGGTCCACGCGATCAATGGCATAGTCATCCCTCATTTTGTAAATGGAGTTAAATGAGTATGAAGTCCATATTGTAACAATTTGGGTTGCTCAGCAGGAAACGAAGGTGTGAACCAGAAAGAAGGAGGGAGTTAAAGTAAACTGATGGCAAAAGCAGATGTTGCTCAACCTTCTCATGTTAACACTTCAGTTGTACCTGTTGCATGTGTGGGACCGAGTGGGTGAGCTGATGTGAGCTACAGACATGTAGGAAATGTTTAAATCTCCAGTATTATTTTAGAAAAAAAGATGTAGTTTAATTCTGATCTTTCGCAGGCTTAACACTTCAATCGAGTTTGTTTGAATTTACACCACTGTAAGAGATCAGAATCATGCCCACAAGATTTAAAAGCTACTGGCTAAAATTGTGTTGGATCAGGCTCCCATTTTCTGTGAGCAGAACACTTTAGAGCTCGAAATAGCTGCTGCCTATATAGTTATATGACAAATATGGCCTTTATTATATTATATTACATCATAGTTTGACATAGATTACAGGGCACTTACAGTCCTGCCCTGTAGCAGCCTTAAACTCCATCCTTCCTGCATGAAGGGAATGGCAGTTTTAGAGGAACTCACTGAAATTCAGTAAAGACAGGTGGTATTTTAAAGCAACAGGAATGCAGATGCATGGGTAGCTCAATATTTTAAAATGGTGCCATCTTGCATGGTAATTAAAGGCTCAGTTCCTTGCTCAGTCAAAACTCCCATTGACCTGGAATTAACTTCACTGGGACTAGTTTTGTCTGAGTAAGAACTTCAGGTGAGGTTTTCAAAAGAGCTCAGCATCTAGCAGTTCCTGTAATGGGAGCTGCTTGGTGCTGAGTACTTTTAAAAATCTGGTCCCTAGAAACTGGGCCTTAAAATGT